TGTCAGTGGCAGTTTGTCATTTCCCCCCTCTTTTATTATTTCCCTTGCTGTCACTCCTGGGCTTTGCTGTGAGCAGCCTGTCTGCACTGACTGTTTCTGCCCTTGAATTGGCTCCTTCTGCTGAGTGCCTCTCTTGTCCAGCATTGTGGACACCCAGCTCCCTGGGGTGAAGGGTCAGGCCTTAAAGGGAGACCTGGAGGTGGGATTTAAACAGAGGACATCACCCACTGGCTTATTTAGAATGAGGAAATGGCTAGGGCTCTGCAGAGGTGTGAGTTTACCTGTGAAAATAGCAGATTCCTGTTCTCTCTGGAAGGGATTTCTACATGGCAGGGTGGGATTACTTCTTCCTTGTACTCACAGGCTGCTTCCATCCCCCTTTAGAGCATTCCAAGCCCAGCTCAGCTGCTGTGTTCCTGTGCTCTCTGACCTGCTGGTGGCACCTCTGACACCCCCATCCTAAGCTGTTAGTGTGAGGAGCACTGAGCTCATCTCTGAGCAGCAGAGTCCAAGGGGTGGGAGCAGGGCCAGGCTGCTGGAGGTGGCCGCCTCCTGAGCCACGCCGGGGGACACTTGCTGCTGGGTCAGCTGGCCCTGGCCTTCCCTGGGCTGTAGCTGGTTCTAGTCCCTGCTAGCCAGGTCTGGCTCTGTGGGCTGGCACAGGCAGATGTGAGCTCAGCATGCTGGCTGCGAACTGTGTGCCTGCAATCTCCTGGCCCGGTGCCCCAGCTTGGCAGCTGGGCAAGGTGCTCAAGGATTCACTTGCAAAAGTTGAACCAACAGTGCTGTCTCAGCCTTGTTCCAGACCCCCGGACCTTTGTGAGGGCTGTGTCATCCTGACTTTAATAACTTGGTGCTGTTTGTCACTTCTTCCCAGGGTAGCAAAAAATTGCTGAAATACTACAAGGGCTTTAAGACTGGTTGTAGGAGCTGAATGCTGGGAGAAGCAGAGGGAACCAAATGTACTCCTTGGGGGATTTCTCTTCTCAGAGTCATGGATTAAAAAGGCTAACATCAGTACAAATTCATCCAGGAGAAAGCTGCTGAATCCAGTGCTTGTAATGCCAGCTCTGAGATTTGCATCAACAGGCAAGAAGGGAAAGAAGGAAAGAAAACACATGGTAAAATATTAACCTCCCTATTGGAACAGGCAGTTTGCAACAAACAGCAGCTGTTCTCTTTCATGGCATGAAAGATGTAGGAGCTCAATATTTGAGGGTGGAGAAATATTTTCTTCCATGCAGAGGTTGATAGTTTCTCACATCAAAGATCCAAAATATCTGCTCATCTTTCAAGCCCTGCTTATTGTTTGGAAGCATACTGAAACATCAGTACTTGGCAAATCTGCCTTGCCCCATCATTTACACACCCCAAAAGGAAATCTCCCTGTCTTTACCTGTATCCTGCATCTTGCTTTGCAGCCAAGAACGCCTCACTCTAGTGTTCCCCTAAGAATACCATGTCTTTATTTTCTACAAAATGTTCTACAGATCATTTACCAGCCAGCTAGCAGATGTTAACAAGAATTGTTAGCAATAATCAAGCTAAAACATCTTTGAGAAAAGTAGGTTTTTTGATGTACTGCAGCTTTTATGTAATTATTTTTGTTCATGTATTTATCAACTTGCAATGTAGTTTTTGCTTTGAGTAAGTCTCTTGGGTTTGTAGGTGATTTTGGAAGGCTCTGCTTTGTCCACTCATGAGATTCAGGCCAGACCCTGAACATGTTTGCCATGAGTGAGTTATATTAAAAAAGACAGGCTTATAGAAGTGCAACAGTAATAATATATTGCCTTTGGTACTGCCTGATGTTCAGTGCCACTGGCCAACTGTGATATTTCTTAATGAAGGATTTTTTTTCCCTCAAGGCAATATTTTCTTGCTTTTTTCTTTCCCTATGGCTCCTTTCTGATTAATTTTCTTGATGAAGGAGGATCCTTCCCAGCTTGGGAGTTTGCTCCTCTCCTCTCTGTGCTTGCTGACCCACTGTTTAGCAGCCTTGTGCTGGCAACTGCTCTTATCTTCCCATCTGGACCCCTCTCTGGAAGTGGGATTTCAGTGAGTGGAGGAGGAGGCTCTAGATGTTATCCCACTTGTTTTATGCAGGAAAGTCCTTTGGAGACAGCAATCTTCTCACTGTTTTCTTGTAGCATTTTTTTCATCCCATGTTATAGTTTCTGAATTTTTATTTTCTTGTAGGTTGATCCTGTTGTCTTTCCCTGTGTAGACAACCTCTTCATATTATATGTTTTCTTCCTTTCTGGGTGCTGAGTAATATTTTTCCTTCTTTTCCTGCCCAGCAGGATCTCTGAAGAATCTCACGCAGTTCATCCAAGGGCCAGAACACTAACAGAACCGAAGAAATGCAAGACATAGTTTCCATTGTTACATGAGTTAGTAGCATGGTTTTCAAAAGCTGTCCAACTTTTCCACTGTAGCAGTCTTTTTATCCATTAATAAAACCATAATTTGAGGTCTGGGAGGCAGGGATCAGGTGAAACTCTGGGAAGGATACTGAAGTGGAGGACTGAGAAGCTGAGGAAACTCCTGTGAGCTCCCTGGCTAAAGAGGTGTCACATTACCATCCATGCTGATGCCATCCCTCTCTGTGGGGAAAAAACCAAACCTGAACATGTGAACCTACGGAAGGTTGTTCTGTGAAGGTGGTGTGGAGAGGGAGAAACTGAGATTCCACATTCATCCTTAATTCTGTCTTCATTTATTGGATTGAGTCATATCAAACAGTCTCTCCTGAGCATATTCAGAGCACTTTTTTTTTTTTTTTTTTTTTTTTTTTTTTTTTTTGCCATGGCAGCTGCTAATTTATCTCCATTTGGATGGGTTATTAGAGGATGAGTGAAAGGGGTCTTGGGTTACCCTGCTGCCCAGTGTGGAAGCAGTGTTTTGTAGCATCCAGCAGCAAATGTTAGTAAAAAAAAAAACATCTGGGACTCTTAACAACAGACAAAATAACTTTTTTTATTTGCAGTCATTGACATTCAACTTAGGTTTTCCTCATAGCAGTCATACCTGCTATGTAAGTCTCAGCTCAAGCTGCCAATCAAATGAAGCTCTAAGCAAATGAGACAGGGTGTTGGAAGGAAGAGGAGTTTGTGGTAGGATTAATTAAAATTGGTGTTATCAGTGTAGCTGCATGCAGCCTTCCACCATATAGGTCAGCTCTCTCTGAAGCCTCAAGTTTCCCCTACAATGCCATAATTAACTATTAAAGTAGGTACTTTAAAAAAACATTCCTCCTCCAGAAAACCATAACCCAGGATTTCTTTTTCAAAGCACAGAATTAATTGCATCCTTCCACAGTATCTTTGAGGTGCTGTTATTTCTTTAAAATGCATTTACAGCATATTGTGATATGTCACACATCCTTTAAATATCCAATAGCTTTTTAACTTTTAAAGATCTATTTCACACTTAGTGGCATGTCTGTAATGCATTTTTCTGCAACGTGTGGCAGATGTCTGGGGAAACTGTGTTTGCTCCCATATGGGGGTTATTTTGCTGGAAAATGAAAGAGGGTTGACACTTCATTTGATTTTCCTGAGCTGTCAGATCAGGGATTCTCTATCTGGGTGTGAGACATGAATCCAGATCATATGTAAACTGCACAAGGGAAGATGTGCTCCCTTCCCTGGCTGAAGGGAGACTTCCCATTGGAGAATATCCTCTGAGGGCTACAAGGGGGAAAACAGGATGGGGAGGTTTGCTCCATGGGACATACAGAAGGAGCATCAAGACTGTACTTGGACCTTCCCCTAAGAGAAGGAGGCAGCTTTGAGGTTACTCAAACCTTAAGGAAACTCCTGATACTTGTGACCCAGGTTCCTGAAGTGAGCTGGCACTTGAGCGTTGTGTGGTGCTGAATATGACTCATGGAGAGGCATCATACATGCCAGGGCTGCAATCACTTTGGATGTGTCAGACCACCACTGCACGGTTGTGGTTTATGGACAGACAGAAGGAAATTTGTCATCTGTGTTGGCCAACAATCTCTGTCTGCAGATCTGTGCTTCTGTTCAGACTCCTTCCTCTCTGCTCTGTCTGAATGTGGCTTTGTGTCCCCTTGTCCCTGTGCTGTGGTGAGCTGTCCCTGTGTTTTCTTTCTGTTCCCAGCACTGTGCTTGGGGCAGGCCCCTCTGCTGTTTCCCCTGCAATATCAGGGGGAGGGGAGGAAGCTGAGCAGGGAAAGTGCTGCAAGGCCCTGCAGGTAATGCTTGTGCCAACATCCCCCTCTTCTGAGACAGATGCAGTGGGGATAAACACCAGGTGTCTCTTGCAGAGTAGTTAAATGCACCAGCAGTCCCTGTTTTGTCGTGTTAGGACAGAAGAGCCTTCCAGCTTTAGATTTCCAAAGATTGCCAGTGGCACTTGGCACATCCCTCTTGTGCACAACCTGGGAGACACTCCTGAGTTTCTGGGCAGTACAAATGCCCAAGAATTACTTGGATGTGGTAGCAGCCAGTGTCCTCACTGCTGGTATGTGTGAGCATGGGCACATGCTGTTGAGGCATTTCTGGGCAGAATTTCCTAGGGACTGAGGAGCAAAGCCTTGGGGGAAGCTGTCACTGAGAGCACAAAGCTGGCAAAGCATGAAGGTGCTGGATATCCCTGGAAATATGGACATGGAGGTGTGCCTCCTGCATGGAAGCAAGGGGATGGGTGGGTGAGTGACCTGGAATGTCCCCCAGCAGACTGAGGGTGTCAGTGATCCCATCAGTGGAAGCAAAGGGGACAGGTTAGACAGATCTAGAGGGAGAGCACAAAAGTAATTATTTCCTTCCCCAGCCACTTGACTTCTCTGGCTACTTCTTGAGCTCCATTAAGCTGATTAGTGTCATGCACTTGAGGCTTTGTCTAGTACCCATGGCATTTCCCATTCTTGTTTGCATGTGTGAAGGGTTTTCTCACCCATGGCTGTGACACCTCTCCCCTCTGGACTCAGGATTATTTTTTCTGATTATTAATGTTTTCATGGGTCTCAGCTTTTCAGGAACACAAAGGCATTCCTAGTGGAGGATCTGATGCCAAGTCTTTGTTGCTGGGTTTAATAGTTACACCTGGGATTATTTCATCCCACTGAACTGACCTCTTCTGAGACACTGCTGCTTCCCCCAGGTGGGTTTGTATTTATAGGTTTACCTCTGCACCCTTTCCCCACCAAGAGTGCTGCCTGTGCCTGGTGCCCTCAGCACATAGCTACAAACAAGCTTGTGCTTGAAAATTGTGGGAAGGCCTTGTGCACCTCATGGAGCCAGAGTGGTTCTCTGAAATGTGGACAAGCAGCAGTCAGAACACCAAATAGCACTGAGGTTTGGCCAGAAGAAAAGTATAGGACCTGTTAGTGCAATGTATGTGTTGCTTTTATACTGTTAACTCCTGTATTGATACACGTACACAACAAAGATATTTGATTAAGTGATACAATTACTACAAAATAAATCATCTGAGTTCTTTATTACTCTAATTTGTATGCATCTGTATAAATCAGAGGTGTACTCACCATTCCTTTGCCATCTCTGAAAGATGCAGGAGGATTAGAAAACATTTGCATTGATGAGTCTTGGGTAAATATTTGACCTACTGGCGAATTCCTCTGCAATTATCCCTTGGAGAGATTTGCTGTGCCTTCCCCTGCGCACCTGCCTGGGTGATGCCAGAGGGAATCAGGGAGAAGTGGGGGGAACCTTTCACTGGTGTTTGAAATCTTGGGGGAACTGAAAAGGTTTTGAGGGGAAGGTGAGGATTTAAACTTGTTTTTACCGATCAAGTGGTAGAGGGAAGTTTGGAATTATGAGGAAAGAATAGGCCATGGTGTTGGAAATCTGGTGGGCTGCTGTATGTTGGGTCATCTGGGGATCATGAAAAGCATGAGTTAAAATCAGTGAGCTCCCAAATGCTCTTCAGGGGTGTTGAAATTCCAGTGTAAATCACCAGTGCAAGAAATTGTGCTGATGGTGGGAGTGATGTCTTTCCAACTCTTTCTGGGCACATGCCTGTGGGGTGACATGTCCAGTGAAGAGGAGAGGTGTGATTTGGTTAAAAAGTGGGGTGTGCTGCAGGGAGTGCACACCCAGGAAATGGGCTGCTAACGAGAGAGCCTTGTTTTGGCAGAGGGGGCCCAAGGGCTGCCCCTGCATGCGAGGTGTGTTGGGGCTCCAAAGCTGCTGGGGTCAGTGCAGGCAGTGCTCAAGTGCTTGAGTTGTGTGTGCTGTGGTTGTGTGAGCTCCACTGACTTATGGAGCTCTCTTTGCTGACCCCAGTTCAGCGCCTCTTGGGTTTCTCAAACTGGGTGTAAATTTTAGAACAGAGAACAAGCTCTCTCTTGCAGAACTTTGGCCACACTTCTTGTTTTGGTCAGGGTGAGTATACCATAAAGGACAGCCTTTGTGTCTGTGCTGGTTTCATGCTTCTGTTCAAACCAGGCATTTACTGAAACAAAATTAAATCTGAGCTGGCAAGTTGAGTTTAAGTTTCAGCTTCAGTTGGCCTGTGCTTTGTTCAGATTAATTCTCTTTTCCCCCAAATGCTCATACCTCCCACCCCATCCCCCAGACAGGGAGGCAGCTGTTGAGCTGTTGTCATTTCTCAGCCTTCACAAAGGCACAGTGGGAAGAGGAGACAAAGCAGAACATCATCTGCCTCCTGCTCTGGTGGCAGGCAGGGAGCTGAGCTCCCAGAGGAGCTGTGCCCAGCTGCTGCCATGCATCCCTGGGATGCTGCTCCATGGGATGCTCGTGGGATGGGCCTTGCTCAGGGAAACAGGAGGAAGGTCCATGAGAAGAGGCAGCACTATGGAGGTTCCCAGCTTGGGTACTTCACTTCTGTGTGGCTGTCTGAGGGAGAAGTGCTAGGGAGGACCTCCTGGGATGGCCAGGCAGCCTGGAGCATGGATACAGCACAGGAAAGAGGGCCTGGGGGATGAGAGGAAGCAGAGTGTTAGTGCTCCTAGGAGCTGGAATGTCTCTAAAGCTGATGTGTTGCCATGGTGTGCCTGGCAGTAAAGCTCCCTTGTTGCTTCTCTAATTCCATTCAGGCAAGGAAGAATGGTGAGGGGATTAGAAACAATGCAGAGCCCAGGCTCTGTCTCCTGCTGGAGTGTGCTCTCCTTGGCTCCTGCACCAGCCAGGGCTCTGCAGCTCAGTCCCCCACAGGGCCTGGGTGAAACAGCTTCCCTGGTACCTGCTGCCCCAGGATAATGCACTGCTTCCCCACATTGTGAGAGAACACATGCCACAGCTTCTGCGTGAACAGCAAAGCAAAGAGAGAGAAGAGAACTTTCTGGAAAGCCAGGAGTGTGGGTGTAGGACTGAAGGCAGCAGAACCAGTGGCAGTACTTCCACTAAGGTAAACAGGAACAGAACTGGGTTTGCCGTGGTCTGGTGTTAATTAGCTTCCTCTTCAGCAATTTCTGAGTGTGCTAATGGTCCTGAAGCAGACATGTCAAAAGATCCTTGACTACAATATACTACAGGTAACATGACCTAGAGGGATTAGTAGCAAGGAAAAGACACAGGATGCCACTTTAACCCTGTTCATCTTGCTTAGCTCTGCCTCCTCCACAGAATTTCCTCACCATTGTCCATCTCCCATTGCCTTGTGATCTGACTGTCTCTAGACCTCCTGCCTTCTGGATCCTTGGCTGTCCTGCCTGGGCCCCTCAGCTGGGCAAGCCACACTGTGCCATTGCAGGGTGCTGGGGACCAGCCCTATCAAATCTCACTCTCTTCACCCCTTGCCCCTCCACAACCTGCTCTCTCCAGTCCTCTGGTTGTGGCCCAATGTCTTGCCCCACTACCTGTCATGGTCTTTTTCTCCCTAGGACTTGCTGTGCCACAGGAGCCCCTGTGCAGCCAGCATAGCCCTCACTTGTCTGTGCCCACCATCATCCTCCATCTGCAAAATCACTTTGTCCCTTCACTCCCCTTGCTTGATGGGGAGACAAGAGTTGAGTCACTATTCCTTCAGCATCTAATATGGGGGAAATAATGTCTAAAGAAGGAGCTGTGGTGGTAGAGGGAGAAGCTGCTGCTGTTCCTCTGCCTGGGGTTGACCATTCTAGAGCTCTTGAGCAGTTCAGGTGATGTGGGATGGAACTGCTGCAGGGGGTGAGCCAAAGCCCTGCTCAGGGAGGGAGCTCCAAAGTGGTGAAGAAAGAGTCCTGTTTCTCAGAGTGCAGCATGCTGAATCTCTCCTTGCTTTAATAAGCAGCTGCTTCTCTGTGGAGAGGCTCCCTGTCCTGTGCCAGCTCCCCTTTCATGACAGCCAAAATTACTCCTGTGTTAGGCAGAGGCCCTTCCAGTGAAAAGAAGCCCTTTCCTGTCAGGGTTCAGTGCAAACACCCTTTGCTTGGGAGCACTGGGCTGGAGTCTTGTCACAGGTGAGGTGTCCCAGGGGAGCCCTGTTGGGGAGCCCTGCTGCTCTCTGCTTTGTTCTCTGTCCCCCCTTCAGCTCTGTGGGATCCCCAGGCCCCTGTGCAGCTTCTCCAGGGCTTCTTTTTCCTTCACAGTGAGCTGCCAGGCTTCTTGTGCCCACACCTGGTTACTGATGGATTGACGGTGTCTGAAGTTTGGGTTATTAATCCTGACCTGAGGCAATATCTCATTAATGAAAATAAAACTGGAAATTAATAGATGAGGAAATAAAGAGGCTGAAAGCTGATGAAAGGGGAATTGTGAGGGAGAAGAGTGAAAAAAGGGAAGAAGAAATTCAGTTTGGGACTTGATTTCTCTGGAGGCAAAGTGGAGAGAAGGAAAAATCTGAGTCTTAACAGGGCAGGAGAGGACGGAGAGGTGGATAGAGAGAAAGGAGGGTCAAAGGAGCCCTTGCCTAGGCAGGCTGCCATGGGCCTGCTGGGAAGTCAGCAGGGCCAGGCTGAAGCAGATGGGGAGAGAAGGATTGCAAGCCTGAAGGCTGCATGAAATATTTAAGATGCTCCATCAAACTATCTTCTCAATGGGGTGAGATTCTGGGTGGGAGGGACAAGAAAAAACTTGGCTGATAAAAAGAAATAATAATTAAACAAACCTGACAACACGTAGCTCTCTTCTTTGCATCTCTCCTCTCTTACCTCTGGGGCCCTGGGCAACCTGATCTAGAAGGTGGCATTTGTGGGAGGGAGGGAGGGCTGGAACCAGATGATCTTTAAGGTCCTTTCCATCTCAAGCCATTCTAGGATCTTACTTTCTCCAGAGGTGAGATTTCCAGTTATGCTGGATACAAGTCCAGGTTTCTTCAACCTTTGAAGCTTTAGTTTGCTTTTGTTTCCTCACATTCTTCCTCCTCTTTTCCTTGTTCCCCAAACTCACAGCACCTGTCACACAGTAACCAACTCCAGTCTAGCTGGGTCTTGCTCCCCTCTCCCACTGCTGGGGTCGGTGTAGCTCTGTCCCCTTTAGAGGTGTCCCCTTTGGACACAAATGTGTCTTCCTTGACCCTCCAAGCCCTTTTCTCCCTCCACTTGGTGCCTAGTCCTTTTGACATCTGCTCTTGGGAGAGGGATGACTTGATCTGCATCTCAGTTCAGGGAAGCCTTGAGCTCAGCTGAGGTCATGCAGGAACAGAATCTGTTGTGAAAGTATCCACAAGGATTTCTCTGACTTTATCCCACATTGGCTGACAAAGGCAAAACTTGAAGTGTAATGGATGTCACTGAGTGCCTGAGGATCCAGGGAATGGCAGAGCCCAAGAGAAATCAGAAAGCTCAGCTGTCTCAGCTCATGAGGTTTTGGGCCACTGTGTCCTGCATTCTGCCTGTATACAAATGCCATTATGCAATTCCATCACCCTTGACTTTTCCTGCTTCCCTTCCTTCCATGAGAGCAGAGAGAGCTGTTGCCTTTAGACTGGATGTGTGTAATCACCCTGACCTAGTTTGGGAGCTGAATCTAGAAGGAGAGAAAACCATGTCCATTAAGTTAAAAAATATAGTAAATAGCTGCTGTGTTCCTTCCCCATGCCCTGCAAATCCAATGTAAAATTCACTTAGTAATTTTGATCAGGCTTTGGTTATGTTAAAAAAAAAAAAATCTCAACACCTGTAGCAGATGCAGTTTTTAAATATAGAAAGGAGTCCAGACTTAATTCTGAATGTTTCAGCTCTGGAGACCTCATTTAGGGGTGGCAAGTACTGCACCTTTTGTGATCTTCCTGTGCATGGTGTGTCCTGGCCACTGTTTGCTGCCTCCCTGTCCCTGTGAACTGTGCCTGATTTTTTTCTAAGCTGGTGGAATTGTCTGTTCCTGATGCTCACCCAGCTGAGGTCTGCAGGTGACAGGCTAACAGGTCCATGGTGGTGTTTGTGTTTGGGTTTTTTTGAGTGGGGCAATAATGGAAGGAAGGATACGAAGTACATTTGATGTGGCTCAAGATGCAAGTGAGCCTGGGGCTGGTCTCCAGGTTTTCTTGATTGCTCGCTGTCTGGCACCAGAAAATATCACAGGACAGACAATTGCTACTGCATTTAAAGGCAGGATGTGCTACAGCTCTATACCAGCATGAGTTAGTAAATGTGAAGGAGTGAACAAAAAGTAAATGTTATCTCAGATGACAAAATAACATGCTTTCATAACAAACTAGCATTCCTTCCTAGGATTGATGGCTTCCTATAAACCTGAGCTGTTTTTTTTCCACCCTTTGGTATTCGCAGAGAGAAAATGGTCAGAAAACCTTTTGGGATTTCCCCCCATCATTTTGTAAATGTTCCTAGGTACTGAAATATGTGGTTAAAGGCTAGTGATAAAGCAGCCACAGTACAAGACAGCAGCATTTAATCTGATTTTTTCCAAAGATGTGAAACATGTCCCTGAATTTGCAAGAGAAGTATGGAGCTCATATCTGAGTAGATTATGCATGGGAAGCCTGCATGTTGATGCTGTCTCTCCATAATCCTGTACTGAGCATTACCTCAGCTCTCCTCAAATGTTGTTATTCTCTTTGGCTGTTCTCATTCCTCCCTCATTAGGAAGAATCCATGAAGGAGGAGTGAAAAATATAGAAACCTGATTTGGCTCAGGAAGTCCTTGAGCTGAGAGTGGTTGGCAGCTGGAAGAGTGCCTAAGGGAAGTATTGTGTCTGCTCATCCCATTTTTGCACACTTCTCTGGGCAGCTGTGCTGCTGCCCAGTCTGGGCAGATGTTTGGTCCAGCTTGAGATGCTCATTTTTAGTTGTTTTTGTTATATTATTCTGACGTTCCCTGACTTGTGTAGGCTGGGAGTCTCTAAACTCTTAGGTCAATTGTGAGTTTTGTTTTGTTTTTAAACATCTTTTCTGCTTAATTTTTATTACCATCTGGCATCCCCCTTCCCCTTTCTTTCAAGACACTTGTCCTTTTGATGGGTGTTCCCATTTAGGGGGACATGGGACCTTTAGATATGGAGGAAACAGGATCTGCTCTACTCAGCACCTCTTGGTGGGGATTTCTTGCTCATGGTCAGTGAGTGTGTGGGGCTGGAGACCACAGTCGCAGCACCTGCTGGTGCCCACCCCATGTTTTTACCTGCTGCCTGGAGCACTGAGGGAGCAGGCTGGACAAGTGTCCCTGTCCAGGCTCTGTGGTGTCCCATCCTCCATCTCTCCACTGGAAGCAGATCAGGAGTAAGAGCTCTCCCACAAGAGGGAGGTAAATGTAGGTTGGGAAGGTAGATGCAGCATAGAGATGAACTGCTTGCTTTGAGAGGATGGAATGTCCTCCAAGAGGGGCATCCTTGGTTAGACACGTCAGCCTGGCTCTGATTAACCTGTACACTGAATTCTACTTCAAGGCTTGCTTTGTTTGTCATCTCCCTCTCTTTTATGAGTGTATATGAGCTTTTGGTCTAAACATTTAATTATGGTGACCTTTTCCTTCTAAACTGTGATAGCTACTGTCCATGATGAAAAAGAAAGATCTAGACCAACTTTTTTACTTGTTGGAGGCTCAGCCAAGTCTTGAGGCTCATTTGAGGACAAATCTGTAGCACAGCAATCAAGTACACAGGCAATCCAGCAGCCTGAGGCTGCTGAAGGACAGCACAGGCTGGGCAGGAGTTTTTGTTCCACAAAGGCACAGACCTGTTGCACAATTATTGCATTTCCCATTTGTGGCTTTACACCAGATCTGCAGTATTTTCTGTACTCTCACAACAGCTCAAGCTCCCACAGGTTGGAGTTATGATTTTGTCATAACACCAATATATGCCAGCAAGAGATGCAAATGACTTAAATGGAATTGGTTTTCTTTTGCTATTGGATGGGTGTTTGTGTGAGAGAATCACTTATTTCTGACTTTTCTTTAAAATCATATTCAAAGTAACTTGTGTTATGTTATATAAGGTTGTCCTCCTATCCTCCCAACCCAAAATTTCCTTTGTAATGGATTTAGCTGCAGGTACTATTCCCAAGCCTCTTTCTTTAGACTCAACATAATTTGAGGTTTTAAGACCTCCTAAGCTGTTTTCTAAAGTCATGCTTACTGTTCAGGACTGCACCTAATAAAATACTACAAGCATGAAGTCGTCTGGGGTGAAGGCAATGGGATGAATGAACACAAGCTTTGGTGGGCATCGAAGAAACAACCCTGTAAAGGACTCAGGGTCAGTCAGGAGTGTTATTTAACTTCTTGAGAATGACAAGAAAATGCTGTCAGCCTTGGTAAAGCCTGCTTTCAACCCCCAGGAGCTGGTCCTTGTTCACAGGGGTTACACTGACAGTAGCACAGACCAATGCTGATGGAGACAAAGGTGATCAAGGCTTTGGAGGGGTAGGTCATCAGTGAACCCACTCCCCCTTCTTAGTAGAAGCATCCTGTACACCTAAAGAAGTCAAAAGTGAAAATGAAAAAAATGTTTGCATACAGCTGATGCTTGCAGTTTTGAAAGGAATTTAGGTTGAGGGCAGGACAGATGTTGAAGGGAGGGATTAATTCAAATTGGATAAAGTGCCTAATTTGCCTAAGAGGTTGCTTAAAGAAAATGACAACTTGTAAAAATTCTGGCTAGCACTGGGCTGGAGTTGAGAAGGTGAGAATGATTGTTCAGCAGCCGGGGACAGCCCGGGGGGAGCTCCAGAGGCGCTCACTGGCCGGCGGGCGGCGCAGCCTGGCGGGCACTGGGGTGGGGACACTGGTTCGTTCATTTATCATCATTTGTTTGTCGCCTGAGCTCTCCCTTGAGGGTTATCCCTGCCTGGGCAGAAGGCAAGATGAGATTCTGTGAAAGAGCCCTGATTAAAAGAGGAGGAAGGATGAGTGCTGTGCTCCTCAGAGAGGGGGTTTGTTGGGAAAGCACTCAGGTGTATATGCAACATTACCTTGAAGTCCCCTGTAGTAGAATACAAATGTGTTTGCCTTCTTCCCAAACCACTCTCTCCATCTGTTTTATGTTTTAGGCACCTTGGTCCCTATCTAATGTTTTATCACCTTGATAGCTCTTGCCTTATTAAGTATGTCTGCTTCTATCTCTCTAATCTCTTCACATCACCTCCCCAGGGTGCTTTCTCCTTTGTCTCTTACAGTTCTCCTTTACCTGATGCTATTTTTTCCCACCCCTCGCTGATGCACTGCAACCTCAGTTGACATTTCTGCTTTCCCTTGGAGCAGTGGTGAGAAGTGCTGCTTGGTGCGTACAGGAAAGGGATGCAAAGTATGCAGGGTGCAGCTGTAGTGCCCTGGGGCAGCTGGACATCTGGTGCTCCCTGGCCTGGGAACTGGCCCCTCCAGGCTCCCTATGGAATTTTAGTCAGCTCTGACCTTTGGTGGCATAGAAAAAGCAGTCTTGGAAACCTTGGCTCTGTGTTCATGCAAGGA